CCCCAAAACCCCAAAACCCCATATATAGTAATAGGAGTAAAATTTGGTAGTTGATAAAAATATTGAAATGAGTCATTTGTAAATAGGTTATTTATTAAAGAAATTAAATCGTTAATAACCATTAAAATTTAGCTTAAATCTTAATAATTAAAAATAAACTAATCTATTAGATGCTAACCAGCGAAAATACCGAGCTAATAAGAGATGAAAGAACATACTCTAATAAGTTTAATGAAGAATACGAAGAAAAATTTGATAAAAAATCAGTTATTAATTATTATGCAGGAGATTGCCTCATACCTATTTAGATTGCAGTTTCATCAAGGTACATCTGCATTTTATTTGAGCCACATGAAGGTGAGTAGAAATTTCACATTCTTCAGAGGTACACAAATGCTATTCTTTATCAAACTACGCTTTCAACAAATGTTTCAACTTTTCACCTTTATGATCCAATAGATTGCTAAATAAAAAGCAATTTCGCAGAGGATGATGCGCATTTGATAATATCAGAATATAAAAAAGCAGAATTCTCTACTTAGAATTTGTTAGTTTTCAAAATAAGCAAGAAAAATTTAGTTTCTAATTTGATTCATGGCATTGTTTCATGAAAATAGCAGTCTTTCAAGTTCGCAGCAGTATCTCAAGATATGAAGTATTTTGCTCTCGCAATACTTACTAATGTGGCATAGCATTTAACTCCTAATAATACAGAGCATAATTATTAGCATTAAGTTTTATTCGTCAGTCTTTCAAATAAGAAATTCATTAATGTCGCAGAAACTGAAAATTTTCAAGCTGACAATTAATTAATGATATATCCGAGAGTTTTGTTCATCAATGAAGCTGATAAAGCATTAATTTTTATTCATGGTGTTGAGATTAAACTTTTTGACATTTAGAACAAATAAAATCTTTCATCAATTAAAATATCAGCTTACGAAGGCTTAAACGTCGGTTATTACATAGACATTGATTAATATTTTCTAATTGATAATAAATAGTTCAAAGAATGGTAGATAACCTTCTAGGCAGATTAACTTAAACTAACTGAAACAAACCCTATCATTAACTTTGATCCAGATGTTGATGTTGAGTTTTCTGTTAATTGCATTTCTTATCTCCATTAGTTGAAAAATATGACTTCTGTCTATTTAGGAAATAATAATTCATCTTTTTGCGTTGATTAAAAAGCATTTGAATTAACAATAGGTAATATAAAATATTCTAGAGCTATTATTTTGCCAAGATTAAAAGTATATTTTGCAATTAAAAGTACAGCTCCTTACGAGTGTATTGTTTTAGATTTAAACAATTTGGAAACTAGCTTCATTACCACTATACCTTCTTCTACTATAAGTTTAAGTTGTTATACATAGAAGAAGCTTTCTCAAATCGTACTTTCTGATAAAAGCTTCTATAATAGCGATATTTGTCAAGGAATATCAGTAATAAAAAATCTAACAGACTTTTTCAAAGATAATTTACCATTATTAGATTCCATGAATTTGAAAAAAGTAAAATAATTCTGCTTTAATGGAAGATTTCTAACTATTAAATAAGATAGAAACTTTAGAGTATTTGATATTTAATAAGGCAAAGAGGTATTGAGTGTACTAGGAATGAAAATAATTTTTTCAGATGATCAATTATCAATTATAATTTATGTTGGAGGACTTTATTATTAAGTATACTCCTGGAACTACATTGAAAGTTTATTTGAAATAAAAGAATCATCTTTAAGAAATATAGCCTCAAGAATTGATTTTGTCCCTGGATCGAACTCTTAATTAGTTATTTATGACGAATACTATAATTGCCTAATTTAAAGAGACATTTAATCAAATACAAATACTATAATGATGAGAAAACTTACTTTTTAAAAAGACAAGTATACTATTTTAACAAGTAACCTGGTCTCATTCATTGAAACTAGATCTTTTTAAACTGGTAAATAAAATTACTTCATAATTTTTAACTGCTCATTGTAATATCCTGAATTGGAAATGCTTATATAAGACTAAATTTTGGAGATAAAACTCTCTCTTGATAAAAATTTCCTTTATCTCTCGACTTAATAATAGATCAAAGTATTTAATGTTAAGAATTTTAAAGTAGAAATATGTACCTATTCGATTTAAAATATCAATCAAATAATTGAGACTGAAGATTAAACTTACTTAATTAAAAAAAATTTGGATACTACTCAAATAATTGCAGTGAAAACTATCAATCCGATTTTGAAGGCATAATTACCTACAATGACTAAATCATTTACATCTAGTATATTCTTAATGAAATATATTATTAAAGGACTTTAACATGAAGATAATCTTGTGAAAGAAAATTCTTTGATGGCTTATCAAACATTTCATTAGTTAGGGATGGTTGACACTTTTTATGGATATCAAGGTACGACTATGCTTCATCATTTAATCAAGAATAATGACCCAAGTCTTTTATAAAGATTCTTTGGAGATGCCCAAGCCAATAATTTATATCATATGACATTCATGGGAAAAAGTCCGCTTACCTACGCCTACGAAAATAAGAAATTGTAACATTTGAATATAATCTTGGGAAAATTCAACAACTTCCCTGAAAGCATCATTGCAAGTGATGAAGATCTACTGACTCTTATGGATTGCCAACTATCAGCTGGGAAGCAATTAATCCTGAATCTTTTTACTGTTCCATAATTCTATAAGTGTGCACTTCCATTCTAGGTAGATTCTAAATAGTAAATAGTCTTGGTCCCTTTCGAAAATAATATGATTGGCTAACCGCTTTGCAACTAAATTGTAAATATGTTTCAAGAAAAGCCTGGAGGTGAGGACATTGTTCTTTAAATATGTTCAAGTATTTTTGAATTTGATTTTGAGAGAGGTTCTCCTGCTAGTCTTAATTTTCTACAGAAGTATTCCAAGGAGAGCTCTGAGGAAGTAGTTAGATCAAACTTAAGATTTATTATTGCGTACAAGTATAAGGAATGCTTGGTCTTTCTGAAGTTGTAAGCTGCGGCATTTTACCTTTTCATAGCTTCCTACTATATCAGATAAATATTTCTTCATGACTCACTTATCTTTTCTTTATACTTGTTGATATTCAATACTTTATTCTTTGGATATGAAATGAATTAGATCTTTAGAACTGGTCTCAGAAATTACTTTGATAGCATTTGGAACTATACAGACACTATTGCCTTTATTTTCTTGTATATAGGAATCATAATGTCATTATCTGAGGAGAGTAAATCTAACTCTTCTATCACTTAATTAACGACATTTATAGACAACATAACAGTTTTCTGTTTACTTTTGAGAGGCATGTCTCATTTTAGGATATTTAGCAGCCTAAGGTACTTTATCAACATGATCATTGAAATTATTAAAGATATGGCAAGCTTCTCGATTATTCTGGTTTACTGGATTGTTGGTTTCAGTTTGATGTTTTATCTATTTAGCTTTGAAAAGGAGTATGGAAGAGAAGATAGCTTTGATATAGATGCTTCCTCTCTAAATTTTCTAGACTCTCTTTAATTTACATATAAACTCTCATTTGGAGATTTCGACACAGAGGAATTCACAGTTTAGTAATGGATACTTTTCATAATTTCGACTTTCTTTATTCCATTGGTTTTATTCAATTTAATTATTGCTGTGATGGGAGATACCTATGATAGGGTATAGACATCAGCTGCTAGTGTTGATTTAAAAGAACAAGCGAAATTAGTTTTAGAAGTAGAAGGCCTACTCAATTTTAAAAACAAAGGATAATAGGTAAACTTAAAAAGATTATTAATATGCCATGATGCTGAGTTAGGGGAAAATGCTCCCGAACAAATGATGTGGGAGGGTAAAATCAAAATACTTACGAAAATGATTCAAAAAGTTGATGAAAAAGTTCAAGGATCGCTTAACATGAAACAAGATTTATTTAATGCTGTTGACGAAGTTAAATCTATGGTAAAGTCAATTAAAATGAAATTAGATCTTAAAAGCCCTTGAATTTTAAATATCTTTTAAAGTTTAGAAATTTTCCAATTTTTTAATAAAATATTGCTCGGGGTTTTGGGGTTTTGGGGTTTTGGGG